GGCAAAGTTACAGAGCTTCCTTCTGTAAGAAAGAGAAGATTTCTTCCATAAATTTTTGGTTGAGGAGGTATATTTTCCAGATCCCAATTTATTACAAATCCCAAAGTGTACTGCACCAGGTCCCCAGTTCAAAGTGAGGTAAATTATATAAGCAATCACATGCCACAATGCTTTTTTGATGAAATGCTTGCATCTGGACCTGTAAGCCAGTCTAGAAAAACAGAAATCCGTATTTTAAACACCAGTTTTAAAATTATTAATTAGCTTTATTTAATGAAATACTACAGAGAAAAGAAAACAATAGAAAAAAGAGAATAAGAAAACAATAGAAAACTTAGGTATATCAGTTTGCCAACAGTTAGAATAAAGGATGACAGTTATTACATTGTTATTGTCCATACATTATCTACCCTGATGGTCAGCAACGCCTTCATAAGTTGCAAGGACAGTAACATTACGATTCAGCCTGAGTAATTGGGATTATTATGGCTTCAGTGACTCAGTTGCTAAATACCATGATGTAAAACGGGAAAGTTCTGCTTTTATTTTATTGAGATGTTACGTTGACATACTGTCAGTAAAACTCCTGATGGAGCGCCTAGAACAGTTTTTCTCAACCTTGGCAGCTTTAAGACTTGTGGACTGCAACTCCCAGAATTCCCCAGCCAGCATGGGGAATTGAAGTCCACAAGTCTTAAAGCCGCCAAGGTTGAGAAAAACTCTGCCTAGAAGGATGTTTAGCTGATGCATGTCCTTTCCAATTAAGCAGGAGGCAACACTTCAAGAGGAATAGGGTTTAATATCAATGTCCAACATTTTAGCTGTTCGACTAACTTAGGTCAGTATCGCCACAAGGCTTGCGATCTCTTTCCAAGTCACCGTCCATGTATCAGAACCGAGAGATCGATGCCCGCGCCTCCAACTCCAACCTTAGCCACCCCGGCGCCGGGAGCAGCGCCTCGCAAACTTTAGGGAAGGAAAGGAGGAGGAGCTACAACGCGGCGATAGCCAATGCTCGGCCGCTCTTCCTCCTTCCTGGGCCCTGAGAGAGCTGCAAGATGGCTGCCTCCAGCCTGAGGGGGTGTTGTTTTCCCGCAGCCACGGCGCTGCTGCTTTTCTTGAGCCGTTGCAGTTCAGCGCTCGGTCATGGAGTGCAGGTACGCCGCAAAGGGAAGGGCTATGGCTGGCTGCACGTCTTGACTCTCCCGGGTGCCTTGCTTTTTGGTTTTCTTTTCCTTTTCCTGCCGCGCGTGGATCTCAAATCCGGGACTTGCATTTCCGCGTCCAGGGGTTGGTCGTGGTTGCAGTGAGCAAATGCGCGGGAGTCAAGAGCGACCGCCTAAAAATAAAACGGGCCTGAGACTTTTAGAATCTAGCTGTCTGTCGCCATACAATTGAATGCGGGGTTGGAAATGCGTGTCGGAAGTGCTCTGCTCCACCGCTGGCATCTGCCTTCTAGCTTTTTTCCCGCCCCGAGCCGTCATTGCAGTCCGGCAGGCGAGCGGGAGGAGGAGTGAGCGGGGATGGATCTAATGGGGTCTCTCCGGTCGGGTGCTCGACCGCCCCCTGATGGCATCTGGCAGGGATGCTGCTGCTGCTGCTCGGTCCTGGTCCTGGTCCTCTCGAGTCGTTTCTGTGCCTTACTCTTCTTCACCCGGTTGCCGCCTTTCATGCTTTCCTTTCACGGAGCTTGGCTAGTGGTCCTTCTAGTTGGCCGAGGGAAATGCACGAAAAACGGCAGCTTGCTGGCACGTAACCGCCGTCCCCCGCATTCTTGTCATAAGAGAAGAGAAGGAAAAGTTTGGAGAGAAAAGGTTAAAAAACAGCAGTTGGGCTTTGTGAGGGAAGAAAGCAGCAAAGCGAGGCCTCAGTGTGACTGGAGAGGAAGAGACACCACCACATGTTGGCTAAAAGAGTGGGGAAATCCCAGGAGGCAGGATCTCAATCTTCTCCTCCATCAAAATCATTTACGTCCCACTTTTCATTCAGAAGCTCAAGGTGGCATACATAGTGCTGTCCTCCTGTTTTGTTTCGTTTTTACAAGAACCCATGAGGTGGGTTGGGCTGAGACTTGACTGTCTCCAGTCTCCAGCGAGCTTCCACAGCTGAAAGTGTAGTAGAAGCTACATCTCCCATTCCTTATCCAACACCTTAATCACTACCCTTCACTGGCCCTGAAATGAGAGTTCTCACCTGTGGGAATCTGTCTACAACTCCAGAGGAAATGCTGCAAAACTCTTCCCAGTGTTTTCTCTGGAGGCGTAGCTGAACAGGAATCAGACTGCAGCTCTTTGAATTCAAATGCAGAACGATACTTTGCAGTGTGTGGGGGAACAAATGTACCTCCTGTATGCATTCCCTTGAACCAAATGTGCCTTCTCTGGGATCATAGGGCAGCTGCAGAAGGTACCCATGCAATCCTGGGGAAAGACCAGGCTGCTTTAAGGAGTTGCAAACAAGTACTGTATTCAAATTCCAAACCGTATTTTGTCTTCAAAGTGGTGTATGGTTCTAAACAGTAGAGATCCTTTGAAGTAGAAGTTAATTAAGTGAATATCTCAAGCAAGCCCCATGGTTTTAGGGGGATGGGGTAGCAGTGCCAGTTTCAGTTTTGTATATCTCTTGTGTATAATTCCCATTTTTTCTTAGATCCCATTGTCATTTTTCTCCTGGAGAGTTGTTCCAACTCTCAAAATAACTTTCATTTGCTATTTTCTATATACATTATATATACCTAGCAATGTAAAAAGGATGTTGATTTTGCATTTTTAAATGTAACCAAGTTGTTCTGGATCAGACTCAGAAGTCATCCCTTCATGTATTGTGTTTCCAATAATAGCTGGCTAGATCCCTCAAGAAAACCAACAGGGAATTGGGGTAACAGACCACTGATCTATTTGTTGGTCTTTTCAGCTGAAACAGGGAACAGGGAAGGTCCACTTGGCTTTCATGGTTGTAGCCTTTAGTAGATTTATTTATTTAGATTTGTTAAGGCTTTTTAATTGATTTAATGTTTCTTGCAATAATGATTTTAAAAAGAATGACTGAACATGTACATGCTTTGTTTTATGTTACAACATCAGTTTTTTGTAACAATCCCATAACAAGGATGGGAAAGGATCAGATACATAGATTACAGAACAAGCTGGATAATTACATGAAATAGTATTCATTAGACCCCTAGTTCCAACTTATTTGTCACACTGCTGTGATGATAATACATTTGCCCAAGCTCTGGAAGTTTAGAAAACAAAACCTGGCATTTTTTCAGGTCAACTCAATTAAAGTTTCCCCCAAGAGTTATATTTATAAGTTTAAATTGGATGAAAAGAAAAAAAGAGACAATAAAGCAAACTAGGGTCCCATGGGCAGAGTCAGGAGTAATGTGGTATTTTCCAAAAATGACCTAAAATTGACGTTGAGCATCTGCATCCTGAATTGAGTTAGAGAAGTTTTAAGGCTGCAATTAAATGCAAGCTTTAAGTAATTCAAACTGTTTTTTTTTTACCACTGCATAGCAGGGAACAGTCCTATTATTTTCAGTGGTGCTGAAATCAGATTGAACAAAGACATTATCAACCCAATCTTTAAACATTTGTGTAGCTGAAAAAGAACTCAAGAAGAAAAAGTCTAAGGAAAAAAACCCCATAATACTGTGATAAACTAAATTCTGAAAACTGAATGAATTTCTAGCTGATTTAGTTCTTATTTGTTCTAAAAGACAAAGATTGCCACCCAGAGTCACTTGTTGAGATGGACAGTTCTAGAAATCAAATAAATAAATAGACTAATAATCTTGGATCAAGCAAGGACAGAAAATTGAACTAATAATTAAAATAATAATAATTATTAATTATGATCTATTTGAGATAGTACCAGTTCCAAAACATAAAATTGCCAGTGTGAGTTTTAATCACTTTGTAAGAAAGAGTTTTGAGCATGAAACTGAGCAAACTCAGGGAGGCAGTGAAGGACAGGAAGGCCTGGCGCAATATGGTTCATGGGGTCACGAAGAGTCGAGGCAGTGAAGGACAGGAAGGCCTGGCGCAATATGGTTCATGGGGTCACGAAGAGTCGAGGCAGTGAAGGACAGGAAGGCCTGGCGCAATATGGTTCATGGGGTCACGAAGAGTCGGACACGACTTAATGACTGAACAAGAAAGAGTTTATTTTATTTATAATTATATCAGAGCTATTAGAAGGGGAATGGCAAAAGAACAAACAAGGTCAAATAAGTCAGTAAAATGCTTATCCCAATCTGTTATATATACCATAGAATTTAAAATCAGTTTGTGATGGTATACTTTTATTATTTTCCAAAATGCAGAATTATCATATTTATCTAATCGAATTATCTATTTAATCTAGTAATGATCTAAACTGCCATGGGGTTCTTAATATTTGCTTTTCTTATTTATAAATACCTCAGTTGTTTCAGAAGAATGATCAAATTAAATTTTATACCATGTAATTTGTTTCTGACCAGCTGGTTGTATGTCAGTTTCATATTCTGAATGGCCAAATAGCTTGCTGCTACCATCCCAAGTAAAGAATTCAAAACTGTGGCTAGTGATCCCAGTGACTCATTGGGATAATCTCAGCAGCATTAAAATTACTCACTTGAAACACTGAGACACATACATAATGAATTCTAGTTTGTTGAAAAGTAAGTGAAATTTTCTGGCCGGTCACTGGGATAATACCAGCTGAGTGTTGCATAGCTAGTTCTGTTTAGCAACTTAGAAATGATAATTGGCTGCATTTGTATAACTATCTCTCAAAATATCTATTTCTTTATTAAATTTATATGCTGCCCATCTCCCCCAGAGGGTGACTCTGGGCGACTCAAAATATTTGGATGAAAACACAAGCCTTATCACCATATTTAAATATTTAGCTACTTTATTTTTATTACCACTATAGCTTGCATAAACATCAGCAGCTAAAATTATAAGAGAGGAAGCAAAATCATATATAAAAGGTGGATGCTTCATTAGGGAGAAAATAAAATAGTTATAGTGATTAAAGAAGCCCTGTTTCCAAGCTTTATCTTAATTATTAAAAATGAGGGTCCGTATCAAGCTTTTGTTTTTCATTTATCAAGCAGGCAGACTCATCTATGGGTTGACTCTTATAGGATATTTTAATTGCTGGGATGGTCCAAGATTATCAATTAGGAAGATTTTATTAGTTTCTGACTGTTATTCAAGTTTCTTACAAACGTTCATCACAACCTTACAGTAATTTTTGAAAGTCACTGTTGCAATTGTGGATTTTTACCCTGTACTATTTTACATTAAGAAAGAAAGAAAAACACTTTCATTGTGAGGTATTTTCTGGTCATATATCATGGGATTCATTTCTTTATGATCATTTGAGTGTCTTGACTGAATGGCATTTGATAGAAGAGGCGCAGGAGTCTGTCAAGACTTGTCAGGATTCATAAATTGTTCTTTATCTGGATGACAAGCTTCTGTTCTGTTAGAGGAGGAATAGATCCAAGTCAGATTTGTTTGTTTTAGAGGATTCAAGGAGAACAATGTCTGATCAGTGGATCATTCTGGCTTCATTCAGGTTTTTCCTGGTTTGCCAATTTTGATTCATTAAGAGTAATTTCTGCAATTCCTGGGGTGAAATAAATTTCTTACTCAGTATGTTCTCACTTGGAATAAGTGATTTTTTTAAGATACAATTTTGTTTGTGGTATGAAGACTTTTCAGTAAATAAAATGATGAATAGCATTAGAGAATTGCTATTGTTTATATTGCAAGCATATGCAGTACTCAAATCAAAGCTGAATTTCAGTAATTGGGATGGTTGCTCTCTTCCTAAGCTTTCCTTCCTTGTGGATTTCTGCTTTTGTTTTATTCTGGTTTTTTTCCCTTTCATGTTGTCATCTTTGATCAAGTTTCAAGACAATAGAAAGAATCCTTTATTATTCTTTGATATGATCCAGGAAAGCCTTTTTATACATGCAGTACTACCAGACCAAAGCATTCTTTAATACAAAGCAAAGTTACCTGGGGAAAAAGCTCTTCTAAAAAGAGGGTAATATTTTAAAATAAATGTGCATAGGATTGCTCTGTACATTTCGTAAACATGTCAATTGGTACAATGTTTATGCTAATTAACTCTTCCAATAAAATAGAAAATTACTTCAGATTTGATAAGAAGGCATTACATTTAAAATATTTCTGGAATTTGTGTTTGTGTCTATGTGAATCCTACAGTAATTTTATACTTTTTCTCTTCAGGATCAAGCAGAACAATTTTTTAGAAGTGGACATACAAACAATTGGGCAGTTTTGGTAAGGCGTCATAACCTAACCTAACCTAACCTAACCTAACCTAACCTAACCTAACCTAAAACCTAATATTGGAATATACCAAGTAATATCATTGAAAATAAAAAATTGCCTGCCTCCACAGTGATAGAATTGCTTTTCATTCAGAGATACTGTAGATTGGATGGATCCAAGCCCATCATTTTATATCCATAAAAGAACAGAAAAAATCATAAATAATTCTATTTAAACACATTTAAAGCAGTAGCCTTCGCCAATTTTTTTAAAAATAAATTTTTTTCAGAAAAAAGTTAGCCTTCATAATCACCTTGACCATAATTTACTTAATGCTGTATGTTGTAGGAAGTATTTGCACATATGGGAGAAGAAATAACATAAAGTAGAGAGGTTTTTTGAAGATTTTACTGCAGGCATTAGACTGCAGTTGGAAGAGAACAGCCATTCTTCAGTTTGACATGAGAATTTGTCCTTAGTGAAATTTCCAAATAAGCTGTAGCTGAATGGCCCATTTATTCCTGCACACTCATGCTGTTGCATTATAGCCACAGAATTTAATCTTCTGCTTTTTATTATTCCCTCCCTCCCTCTATGCATACACACACACATACACACATATATTTCTCTCTTAATTTGTTTAGGTGTGCACATCTCGATTCTGGTTTAACTATCGCCACGTGGCCAATACTCTTTCAGTTTACCGAAGCGTCAAGAGACTTGGCATTCCTGATAGGTAAGAAGGGACTTTTAAAATGTTATCAAGTAGGCTACTTACTCTGCCAAGATGATCCTGTACTTGTCTTGTCTCCTGTTCTTTTTATATCTACGCATTTTGATTAGACACTTTAAAGAAAATATATAAACAGGTTCTAAAGGGAGATACGAAAGAAGAATAAAAGAATGAAGTGCAAGTATGCTGGATGTTACAGCTTTCTAAAATATCATAACAATTGAGCGTATTCTATATTATACCCCTTTAAAATATTAAGAATCACTAGTAAACTTGGAGCTAAAAGTGAGTATCCAGAACCATGGTCAATACAGTATAGATCACTTCTCTGCCATCTCTGTTCTTTTGTTTTGTGGGGTTTTTTTTTTTTTGGTATTGTTCCTTGTTTTTAAATATTTTTAACAATTTGTAAACTGCCCAGAGTCGTTGGGAGTCAGGCGGCATATATATGTAATAAATTATTATCATCATTATTATTATGAGCTGAAGTAGATGCAATCCATATTACTAAGAATCTATTGTGATTTAAGTATCCTATAAAATTAAAATATAGACTCTGCATAGAGAAACTGAAATTTTGGATGTGATACCAATCCATGTATTAGGTCATAACCTAGGAACAGTTTCCAGTTTAAGTTGAATTCTTTGGCACATTTGCTTTTAAAGTACAAGGTTATCCTAGACATTGAAACATGCTCCCACTACTTGGTTAGCTATTCTTCTATTGAGGGCTTTTCCACTGAATGTATATAGTTCTCTTTGTGAATGGCCAAAGATATTTTCCCTCTTGAATATGATGTTCAGACTAATGTCCATAGCATTCTTAGTGATAGGTTAACAGATCATAGCATAAGAAATGAGCTACCAGTACATTTCCTGCCTGAAACATTTTGCTTGATCTTCGATATTCCAAGTCTTTATTTATGAATATGGCTGGAAAGCACTTACTCTAGATTAATTCATCTGTGATCCAATTATACAATATTATGTTTGTATTTGTACTGAAGTAATTCCTTTTAAACAAATATGTTACTGTTGGATTAGTCATCTAATCTTTTTCCTGCACTGACATATTGAAGTAAATTGTTTGATAAGTTAATTAGTTAGATGCCTGTTCATTAACTTGTTTTTAAAAATGAACCTGGTTGACAATCTTAATTATGAAAAACTAGTACAGGTCTAATCTAACATATAAATCAAGATATTGACAGAGCAATACTGTTCACAGTCATTGACCTATATTTAACTATGGATTTGAATGATAGAGGGAAATTCTTCTATTAAGCTTTTGAGGTTTTGTGAGGGAAAGCACTTTTGAACACAAGCTTTCTTGCTAAAATTTTACCCCTTCAAGATCCCATTTGCTTTTAACTTTTAGGAATTCTGAAGCCCTTGAACACCATGTGTCTAGGATTGCTCTCTACTTTTGTGTTTCATTTTCTTATTTTCCAGCTTTCAAGGGACACTACAAGATTGCTAAAATTTATAGCAGTTCATAATGAAGGCGGACATAGATTCTATGGGCAGTTAGGTTTGACAATAGTCCTTTTGCCATGTCTATACTTGTTCTCTAGCTTAATGTGATGAGTATTCTCTAGGCCCAGTTTAGCAATCTATGACATGTTTCATATCCTGCAGGTTAAGGTACTTTAAAAAAGCAACGGCAGAGTAAGTTTGCTATATGATATATGAATATGCACATTTGTCTGAAAAATAGTGTTCAAAATCAGTACCATGTGTATATTATTAAATTAATTTTTGGAAGTATTATTGAAAGTGTTACTTGCAAAAGCTACTTCTGGATGTTGACCTTGACCTGAAACTGTTTTGTTAAGTTTCATGCTAGTCTGCTTACACCATATTAAGTTATAAATAATCTAGAATGTTTCCTTGAGCATTCTGTCCTGGTTACACTCCTGTCTATCCCTGTTGTTACTTGTTACATGTAGTCTGATATGTTTAGTTATTTAATCAGAACTAATAATGAAATTTTAAAATGGACATATACAACTGTTGACAAATGTACATGCTGAAGGCTTATTATCTGATTAATAAACTGGAAAAATTCATCACAATATGTCATTGTTTTTCATAGCCTGAAAATAGGTGACTTTGTTTATTATGAAGAATTATGAATTCAACGGCTCAAAAATCTAAATGTGACCATGTTGCATAGACATTTTTGCAAACTGAGAAAGTTGGGATATATATACAGTGACCATATTTTCTTGGAAAAAATAAAGGACAAACCTG